ACCCCTGCCTATATCTGACAAAGTTGTTGCTGAAAACTGTTTTTAAAAGGTTGCTTCCAAGAGAACAAGAAGTCAAAGAGATTGGCTGGCAAGTAGATCTGTGAAAAGAAATACCAGTTATTTGCATTCTATCTGTTTTGTGGAGGAAAGAAAGTTATCGAAACCAAATCCTACAAATTGTTTACATTTACTGCCTTATTTTTTTTTTAAGGGATGGAATTTTCAGCTACACTAGTCATTGGTTAAATTGTCCACTTCCCACTGAAGCATGCCAGGACTTCTGCATTTTTCTTCAGCTAAATGATGCTTATGCCATCAATTCTTATAAATAAGGACTTTACCCTTCATAAACAAGTGCATACACATTATATTACATTTTCAAGTTGCATATAAGTCTTGGATACCCAGATCTCATTTTTACACACTTCCTCTATTAACACCCTTTTGAAAAATGAGAGGGTTTACAAGATTATTATCATAGCCATAAATTTCTGATTTTGTGGTACTTTCACACTTGAAAATATGTTGGACAGCATGAAATACAGCCTGATCTTATGTTTTTAATTAATCTGAAAACTTCAAAGTCCTCCCAGTCTTTTGGTATCAGTGACTTTCTTCCCCGGCCACACCAACAAATCTTAAATCCTAATTAGAATTACCAAAAAAAAACCCCAAAAAAACCCCAAACAAAACCCGAGCTAAAAAAAAAAAAACCAAACACAAAACACTGTGATAACAATCACAGTAGACTTAATTCTGAAATGTCTTACTTTAAAAAATACCATAGCTTTCATTTCTTCAACCATAATCCAACAAAATAAATAATGCTATCTTGCTCAAAAAGTTTTCATTTGACTAATATTAAACCCAAGAAATTTCTGGATTCACAATTTGAATAATCCTTTGACTAATACTTTATTCCCAAGAGATATACTGGGTTGACTGAATCCAGAAATAGCTGAAGCGATTTTTTGTCACCACAGAGAATTCCAGTGCAGAGAAAGCTCCTCCACAAGCCGCAGAACTAGTGAGGCTTGGTTTCCAATACACTTGCACCCTGTCAAGCTCACTCCCCAGTATGTTCCCCTCTACCTCCTCCCATACCCACTATGAGTTCCTAGACAACCCATCACTAGCAAGACTTTCAGTTTGTTCTTACATTTCAGATGTACATTACTGGGCAGGACGCAGCACAGGCTGTACCCTGTTCCCAGCTCACATGTCCAAGCTGGCCAGTTAGCAAGACAACAAAATATGTTTCCCTTCAATTCATTCTCTATACTCCTTTTTGCCACTGAAGGAATCTACTTGGATTTCTCTTCTTTATCCTACTGTCAATTTCCATTTTCAATTTCCAGTTTCCAAAGATACACAGTTCCTACCTTTAGAGTTAATTTTGGCAACATGCTCAAAGTGTTTAGGACAAAGAGGGAGAAGTGAAAGGGTAAACAGGACTAAGATGAATAGTGTGATCACATTAACATGGTTTCAAAATGGCAAAAAGCAATCAGACTAGAAAAGTTTTATAATCAATTCTTGTCTCTTTTCCTTGAGGTGCAGTCATTCCCTGCAATACTTCTACCTAACATCTGTTACTTTACCCTGAAACAGATTAATGAACACTGATAGGTCAACAGCATCCTACAAGAGATATCTGGCAGTCTGTAAGGAAGACACTGTCACAGCCGGCATTGAAATGCCTCAAATTAAACCGCACGCCTAACTGTTTCCAAAGCCAGCATTTTCTCTTTTCCCCTTAGCTCCCTCAGCATACAGGTTCTCTTTTGACAAGACACAGTATCTCTTAAATGAGTCACTTTGTGCACGAGTTGTTAGACCTAGATTCTAGGTCTATCAACTTTGGGGACAAGTGGCTGTAACACTGCCAGGCAGAAAAGGACCTGGGGGTGCT